GGGAAAAACTGATTACTATGCAAATAAAAATTATGCAAATTAGATGCATTGTTATGCAAATTGGCCGTGATGCTTGACATGAAGTCTGGGGAGAACACTGATACATTATACATGTACATGGTAATAGGGCATGATAAACGTCATTAGTCTGTGTACTGTACACCAAGATAATCCAGACTTGCAAGAGTACTGATTTTAATGCTGCAATATGATATGCAATAACAATAACTCTTAATAATGGTGACTGGAAGTGTATTTTAAAAGGATATCGTTAAGAAGAAGAATATTTCTGTTGATTACAAAAACCCATTGGCAACTACGACTGTTCACCAACAAGCCTAGACATTATGCCCGATTACGATTAATTAGCACATAATCTGTAGTACATACATGACACAGTATTTAGGAATCTACTGGTACTTACTTTTTTCATGTATAGGTTCTGCTAGTCCACTGCATGCCTACATGTAAATTACAACAGAATAAAAGATAAGAAATAATACAGTTATCGCAGTCAAAATGCTTTTACACAGGCTATGAAGTCAAGTGGGCGCTATAAATAGTAGAAGACTGTCCTGGAAGATGTCTCAACAATGTTATTTAGTGACCTCTTATAAATCGACAGAATAAAAATGCTTAAATTTTCCATTTTAAATGTTTGTGATTGATATACTAATTACATGCAAATTATATATAAATTGTATGTGAATTGCCACCCTATTGTATTCCTATTCCAATTCCAAGTCTTGTTCATTCACCGGAAGTAAACACGCTGTGGGTCATTGTTGTCGGCTGCAAGAGGCCTGTATCAGTGTATGGTCGAAGGGAGACAACTCGGGTGTCTCCAATGTGGAATGCTCGTGACTTTTCATCAGTGCAATAGTAAAATCCGAAGTGGTTTTGAAGTAATATGTAACGATTAACATGATTAGCTGGGTTTGCTCTGACGGGCCAATCAGTGAAGAGATTTCCTTTTTCTTTTCACCAACGGCGCCATTTTATTGTTTCAATTGTTAGCTGCGTTGAATCGTTGTTTACAAGTTTTTGCAGTGATAATGGTGAAATTGGTTACAAAAGACATCGAGTCAGCTGTTCGAGAGATCGATAAAGACATTAGGAACAAATTTCATTAGGCATGGCTTGACAAGGAAGCGACTTTGACCGTGCGAATCGGGAAGAAAGATGAAGTGGTAACTGAAAAATTGAGTGACTTCGTCGGCAAGTGCGAGGTCCCGGGAAAGGCGCAGTGTCTGTATTGTAAAGATCTAATTAACTACAGTTCTTGGACCCTGGCTACTTTACTTTCAGCTGAAAATTAAAAAATTCTCATTCTTATCCCTGAATAATATTATTTAGTAAAAGTGCATGTTCAAAATTCTAATCAAAGCAAACCATGAATTAATTTCTACTGGGCATGCAAGTTTTATTTATCAGCTCAAATACAAGTTACCCCTACAGTGTTTACTCTAGGATGCACGATTTTCCACCAACTACACTTTGTGTGCTCTTAAAAAAAATATTTTTTGGAGCGCCCTTTCCTTTTTTTAATGGTAGTCTGTGTGTGTAGTGGAACTGTGACGCACTAACTAACTTGCCGATAAAAACACAAATCATCCTCTCGCTTATTTTGTGTAAAATGATGTGTATACATTTAAAAACACTACCTTCTTAGGGTATGTGTACGCAAGTTGGAATAGTCTGCATCGATTTTATGGGATGTGTGTGTGTGGCAGGTGACGCGCCAAGCAACTTCAAAGAAATCAATTGTCATCCTCGCTTGTTGCATAATTTACTACTGTCGCATGTAGCATTCAAACACCAATGCTAGTTAGCGTGCAAATTTGCTAGTCAGACAAGCAGAATAGTAACATTGTGGTCTATTATTTTGAGATGTAAACCTTCAGCCTTCTGATAATCATTCATAAGTAACAGTATGCCATGTTTGTGTTTTTATTGTACAATAAAAAAGTTGTTCCACACATATGAATCATGTTTCATTCTGAAATTTCAAGATTGGTAACATGGGGTAAACACCCCAAGAGACAGACGCATAAATTTTACTGTTTTTAACCTGCCACAGGAGATAGCAGTCAATGAAAGATATTGGACACATTATCAACCAACTGCACTGGCTTAATTATCATGTTCATAAACAACCTTGTCTACACCACAGTCAAAGTACTGTATGCTTGTCTGAAAGCATTGCTAACTGACAAAAAATTAGTAAATTTGATAGCTTAATGCACTGCATTGGTGTTTGAAAGTTATGTGCAGTGATAGTAAAGTCCCATTACAGTATACAACACAGACTTATCACTTACCACATGTGATGTAATTGATGATTTAGAAAATAATCTATCAGCCTCTTTAAATTTTCTATTTCTTTTATCTGCTTTACTATTTGTGTTCCTGTGAAATAAAACAAAGTTGAAATTCAGTATGTTCCGCGAAAAATACGAAGTGACTGCAATGATGGAAAGAAACTGAATATTCATCAATAGTCCTAAATCTACAACCATTTAACTCAAAGAAAATAACACAACTTACTTGTTCGTAAGATACCTATCCCAACCTCTAATAATATTACCATACAAAGCAGTGTCTTCCAAGTAACTGCCTTCAAAAGCATAAATTTGCCGTTCTAAATTTGCTAAAGTTTCCTAGAAAAAAAAAGTATAATGAAAATGTACATATAATCAAAATAAATTACAAGAATACAAAACGGAACATTTTTTTTTAATTGCACAACTCGCAACAAGAAATGTAACTTCGCCCACGTTGCGTTGTTAAACATGAAAACAATCTGCGCAAATGCAACAAATTCTGAAGCATTGTGCGCATCCGCCATTTTTATTGTTAATTCAAAATTGTTCGGTTGACAAAACCTCAAATTAATTAATATCTGAACAACCTCGCATGTATTTAGTTGTTCGAACACGTAAATATATTGCTATATATTGGATTCTGATGAGATAAATGCGGACAACTCGCCAACTTTATTGCCCAATACGGATCGCGCCGAAACTCAACTCCCAATTTTTCCGATCACGTCGAAAAATGCGGCATTTATTCAAGTAAAACTGAGCTTGTGAGATACAAAACACACCGCGACCCTCATAAACGTGCACAAGAGTTGCACTCACCCCAATTTCAGCTCTTCTTTTTACCAACTCGGCGAGCTCAGCCCTCGTATCTGACATTTGAGAAGGTTGTTTCGCGGCCATTTTCATCGTTTTTCATAGGTGTGAAACGTACACACCCGGATGTCAATGTGTCGTCTTTAAAAGAATGCCTGCTATTGGTCATCCTCGGACTTATAAATTAGCATACTGAATTCCAGTGCGGGCAAAACATATTGGGGAATTCGTAAAATTTCATTCAATACAACTGCAAATAATATAACTTGTCAAATATAAATCAAAATTTTGACAAGTATACTCCGCCAAGGCAAATTCAATTCAGTTTGGTTAAAATTATTGCTGATGTACTTTTAACCAATCAACATTGTTGGTACTTGGGAGGAAGAATACAGCGCATGCGCTGCAACAAATATGTCTGCGCCCGTGAGGATACATGTTTTGTTTTTTATGTCGAAGTTTAAACTGTAGATCGCACGACTTGAGTTCACTGTTTTTGTAGATGTCACTAAATGCAGCAGTATGTTGCTAAGGTAAAGGTCACACCTGATTTTATGTATTTCTAAAGTTAAAGTACATCCTTCCTACGTTTTACAGAAGTCGATGTCGAGTGGGATTTAGATTTATTTATTAACACACAACATCATCCGGAGGGAATGAAAAGGGTTACAAATCAGATATTAGTAAAACAAAAAATAACTACATAAAAAGTGAAGAAACAAAAACCATAAAGAAAAAAAAATATAAAAATTAGAAATGTCTAATGTCTTTGGTTTATGAAGGTGCTGCTGTTTTTTAAATATTGTGCTTAAGGAATTGACATTTTCTCGTCACTTAGTAATGATATGAATTTATTTTTGCATTACTAAATTTGTCAAAATTTGGTATACATTTATTAGCTTAAATGTAAAGTTTTCATTGAAATGAGGACAATTTGTGACAAAATGTTGTTCATCTTCAACATGGTCATTGTCACACATATTGCAGACTCTGTCTTTAAAATCCAATCCTGTATGCCGGCCTGTTTCAATTTTCAGACAGTGGTTGCCAAGTCTAAATTTAGTTAAGGATTTGCGAAGTTTACTGTTTTTCATGGCAGAGCTCCAGAAGGAGTACCTACACTTTATGCAAATTTTTTTAAAATTATGCTAATTTATTCATGACGTAGCAGTTTCTGTGCTCATGAATATTCATTAATTTGTGGCTCAATACATTTTAAAAGGGGCGATATATTATTTTTGGGGGAAGAGTTAGAAAGGGGGATTAGCAATCCTTAGGGGGTCAATACAAAAGAAGGGACCCATTTGGAGAGCAGCCATGCTCCTCGTGTCTGTTGTTGCACGCGACCTACAGCTGTCAACTGTGTTCGTTCTTCGACTGTGTTCGTTCTTCGACGACTTCGGCTGGCTTCCACGTGGGGTAGTATTCTTGTGTTCTGTTTTCCTGACTTGAGTTTTTGAATCCGCTGTTTATGTTTTTAAC